CAAATTTATAGTTTCTAATGATTAGGCTTCAACATTGTAGGGAAGTCTATTCGTTGTTCTAGGCCATTTTTATCTTGAATTCCCTCAATACATACTCCAAACCTCTGCCTCTCTCGGCACCCATTTTTTTTCACTGCAGGAATGAATTTACCTTTGCCTTCACCAAGAAATTTGAAAGTGAAGCATATACTTCTTCAACCTTGTCTCTCTCAACCCCACCACCCTAAAGTCAGCCAGCCAGCTAGCAAAATGCTACAGTTATTGATCCAACTGCTTTCTTGAAATATCTTCCCAAATGTTTCATAGGCACCTCAAGCTACATTTAATTTCTCCCACCCTTCCCAAATCTTCTCTGTATTGCTTATCCACCCAAAATTCTGCCAATCATCCTCAACTCCTTTTTCTCCCTCACTTTTGACATTCAGAGCTCATCATGTTCTGCCAATTTTGAATCCTAAATATGTTTTAAAAGCTCTCCTTTCCATTCCTACCACTTCTTCTCTTCCAGACCCTCATCATCTCCTCGGAGCTGTGCCAGCACCTCTGACTCATAGCTTCTTGCAGTCTGTTCTCGAAATGGTGCCAGAGTAATTTTTCATAAATTTGAGGTGGATCGTGTCATTTTCCCCCTTACAGACAGCCCTTTAATGATTCTGCCTTGCCTGTAAGATAGAGTTCAAGCCCCTTGACATGGAAGACCAAACCTTTCAAGATCTGACCCTCCCATATCTGTCCTGTTTCACCTTCCTCTTCTCTCCACCCATATCCCACACTTGATGTTATAACAATACCAAACTATTTAACTTGTCCAAAATATATGATCAAGTTTTACTATTTGGTATATTTGCTAATACTGTTTTCCTTTGCCTTCCACCCTTCATCCTTATCTTCTGCTTAACCACTAAGATTTGGTGTAAGTGCTTCCGAAATTTCCCTTTGGTTGTGCAGATAGCTTTAGGTGCCCTGCCTCTGTGTTCCCAAAACAACTTGCGTGTTCCTGAATTACAGCTTTTATCTTTCCAGACTTTAAAGGATTTGTTTCCACCTCTGTCTCCAACTTTAAATCACTTTGAAAATATGAACCAGAGGGTCTTTGTATACCTATGTGTGTATACCCATTATCCAACATGTATCAAGTACTCAGTAAATACCTGTTTTCAAGTTTGCCTACCCCAGTCCCATGGCATATTACATTGTCATAGAGTGTGTCATCAATAAATAGCTGATGAATATATAAGTGAATGATTGATCTTGTAATTTATTGAACAGGAATAAGGAAACCAGAAGTTGAGACAACTGGAGTTTTTCATCTGAGTGACAAGGAGAATAGGGCTTGCATTCAATGAGAATGGAAACAGATGGAGGAACTAGTTTCAAGATAAAGATTATGCATTGCTTTGACATGAGTTGGTTTGGGAAGTATGACATGACATCCTTTCACAGCTTTTCAGGAGGTACTTGATAAGGTAGCAATTGTGGACAGCACTATAGGCTGGGAAAATCTATTTAGAAATCATTATTGACAATACAATGGTGTGGCATGGATCCCTGAGAAAGTGCGAAGGAGAAGGACAAGGACAGAATCTTCAGGAATGTCTCCATTTAGGGAGAAGAAGTAAAAGAGTTCCCAGTAAAAGAATCTGAGTAGAAGCCTCTTTAAACTATTGCAACAATCAAGATAATATATTATGAAGTCTAAGGGAAAAATGTTTTAATTGTTGGTCTAGTAACAAGCAAGACTGTTGAAAAAGAAAAGGCCATTAGATTTGTCCTTTAAAAAATAGTTTTACTAGGTATGTTTGCTAAAATTAATTACTGTTTCTAGAAGTCTGGCAGAGAAGGGAAAGAGGAAGTGGTAATATAAAGGAGATGGTGCAAGTTTTTATTTTTTAATTATAAGAGTACATGCCTATTGGAATTAGAACATTCAGAAGAATATAAATCAAATTATAGAAGTATTTTTCTTAGCCATTCTATTTCTACTTCTCTGATTTGGTATTTATGTGTTCAGCACTTTAAAAATATTTGTGTATATTCTTTTATTGCAAATTGCTTTTTTAAAAACTTAATAGTATATCATGAAGTTTCTCCACAATAGTATGGAGAACTGTGTATCTCATTTCTTTTAATGGCTGAATAGTATTCCTTATGATGGGTGCATCATAGTTTATTTTCTTATTCTCCTATTGAATGATCTTTGCCTTCAGTTTTTCACTATTATAAATAATGAGAATGGAAACAGATGGAGGAACTAGTTTCAAGATAAAAATTATGCAATAGAGGTCCGGTGCACGAAATTCGTGCACAGGTAGGGTCCCTAGGCCTGGCCGGCGATCAGGGTCAATCGGGGCCTTCCTTCCGGCTGCCGGCTGGGGCCTTCCTTTGTTCCGCGCATGTTCAGCACATGTCATAGCAAACGATCGAACTCCCTGACTCCTGGTTGAATTCCTGAGGGGACACTTTGCATATTAGCCTTTTATATAGAGAGATTCTGCTATGACCATCCTTCATGGGATAACTTCTTAAAAGCAGAATTATCTGGAGGGTGTTTAGGGTCTCCAAAGGAGGAATGCACAAGGCAGAAAGTGGTAAAGAATTATAAACTTAATTAAATCATCTGGAAAACAGATGGGCTGAGCCCCAAAATGGCGACAGCACCGAGAGACCGGGGAGTCAGAGTTTTTAAAGGACTCTAGTGGGCTTTTTCCTAGGGGAATTTTCTGAGCAGGTCCAGATCTTGGGCAAGGGAAAGGTACTGGTCTTAGCAAATGGAATGTGGTCTAAGGGAAATGGAATGTCTTCCTGAGGGGTCAAGGGAGGGGATATCAATTCGATTGTTCAATCAGACCTAACAGAGGGTAGGTGCATTTTTACTTTTTTTTATTTGTGTTGACATATCACCCACAAAAGGGCAATACCAATGTGCAGTTCCTTCAGCAGTTATTAAAATGCTGTCGTTCCACACCCTCACTGACATCAAGTATTATTATACTTTCCCACTTAAGAAAAGAAGTTTTAGGTTTAAGTTTGGCTTTGATTTTTAATGGAAAGTTTGATCTTATTTGTAATTCCAAGACAAAATCCAGTTGAGAGGAGGAAGGAGTTTATAAGTATTAAGAAAAGGAGATGATTGACAGGCCATAGTCACAGAGGGCATGAGTCAAAATGGTATCAAGAGTATGAATAGGCCTGGCTGGAGTGGCTCAGTTGGTTGGTAGTCATCCTGTGCACCGAAAGCTTGCCAGTTTGATTCCCATGGGGGGGGG